ATTCAATTCAGTTCAAGTTTATTTGTATAGCGCTTTTCACGATACAAATCGTTGCAAAGCAACTTTACAGCAAATTAAGTTTCTACAATATTTAGTAGTAGCTTACCAGTGGTGACTGGTTTATGTACATATGGCAGAAATGTACGGAAAAATCAATTTAAGACGTAATCAAACAGACGATGAACACTATTAACAGCAATTATTATATGATGCAATCAAACTTATAGCAAAATGTGGTAGTTCTGTATGTTGTTTCAGGGTTGGCATCATCTGAGGTGCTCTGAGGGGTTGGCATCATCTCTTCTCAGGTGTTCTGGATCCAGACTGAAGCTTGTGTAAATCCTAGTTACCACGGGATGTCAATCCCAGCAGAAACAGAGAAACAAATAGAGACATAATTAGCGTAGCTGGTGTTCCAACCAAGCAAAATTGATTTGTTTAACCCAAACTGAAGAATAATAATGTGCATTTGATCAGATATAACTGCAGTACTAGATTATGAGATGCATTATTTGAATGCTTGGCGAAAGAGATGTGTCTTTAATCTAGATTTAAACAGAGAGAGTGTGTCTGAACCCCGAATGTTATCAGGAAGGCTATTCCAGAGTTTGGGAGCCAAATGCGAAAAAGCTCTACCTCCTTTAGTGGACTTTGCTATCCTAGGTACTACCAAAAGTCCAGAGTTTTGTGACCTTAGGGAGCGTGATGGATTGTAGCGTGGTAGAAGACTAGTTAGGTACGCAGGAGCTAACCCATTAAGGGCCTTATAGGCAAGTAATAATATTTTGTAACTGATACAGAACTTAATAGGTAGCCAGTGCAGATATTTTCTTGACCTGGTAAGGACTCTAGCCGCTGCATTTTTGACCACCTGTAGCTTGTTTATTGAAGATGCAGGACAACCACCTAGCAGTGCATTACAATTAGGGTTGGGAACTGAGAACCAGTTCTTATTAGTCACCACTGATAAGCTACTAGTAAATATAATGTAGAAACTTTAATTTTCTGTGAAGCTGCTTTGCAACAATTGTATCGTGAAAAGCGCTATACAAATAAAAGTGAATTGAATTGATTAAGCACCTGTCAGTCTCTCGTTTCAGTTGTCATTGATGTGTCACAGTAGTGAATGGGTTTGTGAATGCTGACACACACACAGGGACAGTCTATTTTTTGCAAATTGTCATTTTTGGGTGAACTATTGCTGTAAAGTGTCATGTTAGCACCTGGTATTAAGATGTTTCTGGTGATCCACCGGCTGAATATCGGATCGGATCACTGAACCACATGAGTTATGAGAGTTCAGAATCATTTATGTTTCAGACACATGATGCTGTAATAGCAGAACAGCAGTGAGTGGATCACAGAAAACACACGTTAATGTCCAGAGGAAGCACATTTCTGACCTAATGGCAAGCTCAGCTTTGATTTGACAGATAAGACGTGTATGAATGCAAGTGAACGTAGTGCAGTCAGAAGGCTGTTTGTGTGATAAGAGGTTTGACAAACGCTGCTGCAGTGTTCTTTTCTCTGACGTGTTTGCTTTGGGTTGCAGGTCTGTGGTCTCCGGAGCAGAAGTCTGTCTCCAAACATAAAGTCAGCAGTAAGATCACGTGCTGCGGGTGAGTTTGAGGAGGTTTATCACGGTGTGCTGCGGTGAAGGGCTGTGTGATGTGTGACGTGTCTGCTGGTGATCTCAGGTGGACTAATGACGGCCAGTACTTGGCTTTGGGAATGATGAATGGAGTGGTGAGCGTCAGAAACAAGAACGGAGAGGAGAAGGTGAAGATCGAGCGTCCGGGCGGCTCCTCATCGCCCATCTGGTCCATTGCCTGGAACCCGTCCAAGTAAGTGTTCGTGCTTGACCTAAAATTATAGGCTCAGTTAACTTCAGTTTACTTAAGTTGAATATTTAAGTTTATTTATTAAGTTGCTATAACTAATTGCAGCAGCATTTTTTTTTTACAGTGATGGAGTGTTATTTTAGCGTCAGATGCTCTACTAGTTTTTGTTAATAGTTTTTGTCAATAGTGTTTATTTGTGTACATTCATAATGAGTGTTCAGTTTGCACATCAGACAGCAGGGGGCTCTGTTGCTCTAGTCATTCAGTTCATCTACAGCCACACACTCCACTGTCTCTGATCTGTGCTGTTCGCTGTCGCTGTTGCTCAGACTCCTGAGAAAGTGTTAAACTCAGTCTGGCAATGCAGTAAAAGCTCTCTGAACTCCTCAGTGCTGGTCCTGGAGAGCCTCTTTCCTTCAGAGTTCCTGAACACCATGAATGATTTAACTAGGGTTGGATCTGATCTGTGTCACGTCCCTGATGTCAGAGTCTAGCTCCGACATGAGAACAGCACACTGAGCCTGTAAACTGTCTTCACGCCGTAGTTTTGGAAGTGGAAATCTCCTTTTCCCCAAACTTCAGCCTACAAGCACGGTGTTTTACCGGTGTAATCAGAGGTGTGCAGGAACAGCAGTGTGTCATCTCACCGTCACATCACATTTAAACAAAAACAAGTATGTATATATGCTTTATATATGTCTAGAGCTGTCAGAGTGTGAATTCACACCTACTGTCATTTGATAAAAATGGGTATAAAAAGTAAAGCTGAATTACAGGTGCAGTAATGTGTAAAGCTGGCAGTATCTCCATATGAAATAATTAGCACTTTCACAGACATGCAGTGGTTTACATACACGTATGCATGTTTATATCAGTGTGTCTTTGAAACGCTGCTCATTGCATTGTGGGTTTGCATATTAGCACCGTCTCCTCAGTCAGTAGGTACTGTAGGTGATGGATGATGATGGAGTCTGAGCAGCAGATGGTCTCAGATAAAGCACACAGGACAGGACAGATGTTCCTCAGTGTTCTTGAATTGCCATGTGTGTGTGTGTGTGTGTGTTTCAGGGATGAACACAACGATATCTTGGCAGTGGCTGATTGGGGACAGAGGCTGTCGTTCTACCAGCTCAGTGGGAAACAGGTTTGTGTGTGGAATATGTTTTTATTATGCTGTGACAATACAAATGATCATGTCAAACTCACGCCAGAGAGAGATTTAGTGTTGACTGAGAAGTGCTCACTGATCAAGTAGCTGAACACTATCACTCATAGGTCCTTTTGTTTGTTCGTCTGTATTTTGATATTGTCTATTGTCTATAAATGCATGTCCCAGTCACATTTTCTTAAATAAACATTACTTACACTAGCAGAAAAAGAAAACAAAATCTATTTTATATTTTTACTTTAACAATGTAATCAATATTCTTTTTATTAAAGCCAAGTATGAATGTGTTTTTAAGCATTTTACATTTATTCCAAAATAATAACTCAATGCAGCAACATTTATTAATCATTTTATTTGTGAACTTATGTTCAGCTATTCTTCTTGATAGTTAAAGTCAAGTCAAGTCACCTTTATTTATATAGCGCTTTTAACAATACAGATTGTGTCAAAGCAACTGAACAGCATTAATTAGGAAAATAGTGTGTCAATAATGCAAAA